AGCTTCATAACATAATGCGGGAATTTGGGAATATAAACCATCTCCAGTTGAAGTAAATCACAAATAGGTTTTCAATTACTTGGGAACCTTGATACAAATTCAGAGCTCTAAATAGGTTCTCCCAAGGCCTCCCAGTTGGTGCTTCTCCTTGTAAATCCACAGTCCCTTCTTCTGGGCTATAGCATTTCTTGCCAGTCCAACCTATTTCATCTTAATCCTCTAAAATTATCATCATCATCAGTTCCTACCATCAGATACCTTATAATTAAGTTGGGAAGGCACAATTTATATATAACACTGCAAAGACCAGGCTATTTCCATGTAGCACGTTTTTTGTCTCTTAATGAATAAGGATGTTTTTAGGCTGGGTTATAGATCCAGTTTCTGATCAAAGCTGTTAATTTGTTTTACTAATTTGGGCCAATGTGTGTACCTCTCCAGCCCCTACCTACGGTCTACGTACATGACACTCTGGATAAACTTTTTCCAGAAACCTTTTACCCAACTCTGCTCTTACTGTTTGTTTGCCCCCTCCAAATATTTTTTCTGGTCTTTATTTCTGAGTGCAAAGCTTAAGTGAAATTTGTTTAGCCTTTGATAACTCTGTCATACGGTGCCTGCACTGCCAGACAACTAGGTGGCTCACCTACCTTTTTCCTCTTTTAGGGTAGAGAAGGGGGTACTATATCCCCATCTCCATGTCCCCTTGATAGGGAGTCATATTACTTACAAGAGGGGCAAAGACAAGCACTATCTAGCCCTTGAGATGACAGTCTTCATTGTCATTTCCTTCTTAAAACTCTACATTTACATTTAATATCTCTATATTGGGTATTCTTCAGACTATAATCACTTTGATGGGATTGATTTGGAAGCATTTCATTTTAAGCTGACAATATGATAATATTGTATAGATTTTTATCTTTCTTTTATAAAGGAAGGGAATATCACATTTCATCCTAATGGTGACTAGTAGACCAATGATGCTGATCCTATTCATGAGAAAATAGAAAATGGTGGCTTTAGTATGACAGATTAGCCGATTAGCCATATTATTTATCTCATTATTTGAGGAAATGTTCTATTTTTTAAAATATTGATTAACAAATAGCTTTTTAAAGAAGATGGCTGAGTGTATAATCCACAGAATAAAAACCAAAAAGCAAACCCATTGCCGTTGATTCCAACTCACAGCAACCCTATAGGACAGAGTAGAACTGCCCCATAGGGTTTCCAAGCAGCAGCTGGTGGATTCGGACTGCTGACCTTTTGGTTAGCAGCCGAGTTCTTAACCACTGTGCCACCAGGGCTCCATTCACAGTATAGTACGTTGTTATTATAAAAGTGCAAAAGTGCAATTTTTAAAAATGACATGGATATAATTATTTAAGATTTGGAATTACGACTTTTTTACAAGTCTCATTTGTCTTTGGAAAAAATAACTTTCTTTTTGAAATGTACAGCATGTTGTTGTTATGTGCTATCAAGTCGATGTCAACTCACAGTAAATCATTAAAAGGAGAAAATAGGCTTTTTTTTTTAAGAAAATTCAGTTTTTGTTAAAGTAATTAAAACTCTAATGATAGACTAAATATGTGTATATGTGTATATACATATATATATGTGTATATATATATATATATATATTAGAGAGTGAAAAATACATCTTATATTTTTGTTCAGTTTTTTTGGTGTTAAGGAGAAAATAATCACTTGTGGGCTTCTTTTGCAGTTGGGAAAACTTAGATTCAGCGTTGAGATAAGCTAGAGCTCAGTTTCTGACCCCTGGCCTTTTTAATCTCAACTATTTGGAATCCTAGCAATAACTGTAATTTTTTCAGTGATATACTGAAACACATTTTGGCCACCATTCCCTTATATTCTTTCTCCCTTATTCCAGGTGGGATCCAAACATTTACTGTTTCAGGCTTATCTGCCTTTAGCCTAAAACCAAAAAAACCAAACCAATCGCCATCAAGTCAATTCTGACTCATAGCAACCCTACAGGACAGAACAGAACTGCCCCACAGGGTTTCCAAGGAGCAGCTGGTGGATCTGAACTGCTGACCTTTTTGGTTAGCAGCCGTAGCTCTTAATCACTGTGCCATCAGGGCCCCCTTCAGCCTAACTCCCCATTATATTTTAGGCTCATGCCATCTATCTCCAACATGATTACCATCCCTTTCACCACCAAGGTTAGCTCAGCATTGACATAATAATAAGGAAACTCAGGACATTCTGGCCCACTCAGTGCCACTTCTGACGCAGAGTGTTGCAATTTCAGGGTTAAGAAATAGCTCTCCTGCCCATGCTGTAAGTAAAATCTAACTGTGTAGCTTAAAGCTCTGACTCGTACACAAAAACGACAATTTTGGTCAGACAGTGGTTTCTGAAATAAGTGGGAAGAACAGCTGTGAGAGAACTGGATAGGACGTGCCTGTGACACTAAGTTGGCTTAGTTATGATACTCTAATGAGAAAATGTTTTAGAGGAATTCCCATGATTGAGGAAATTTTACTCTGCCTATTAAGGATCATTTTTCCACAGCATAGGTGGTGACTGGTAGGCACTTGGATGGATGACCAGTTTTTACCCTAAGCACTTCATTTTGGAGTGGTATTATTGTGCATATGAGGGGAACCCCTCTTTTGAAGTGATGTCAAGTGGACATTACTGTATTATAGGCAATGATTCTTATCTGTATTTTCAATGAAGAGAGGAGGGAGGGGAGAGCAGAGTCAGTGATAGAAATCTGTTTACAAATGAAATAAGAATTATACCTACTGGTTCATCTGCTTGCATAGCTCCAATTTTGTTGTTGTTTTTGTTAGTTGCTATCGAGTTGGCTCTGAGTCATGACGACCCCATGCACAACAGAACAAAAGGTTGCCTGGTCCTGTGCCATCTTCACAATTATTGGTATGCTTGAGTCTATTGTAAATACCCAAGCTATGGTATTTTCAATCGTCTCATATGCATGTGAAAGCTGGACAATGAATAAGGAAGACTGAAGAAGAATTGATGCCTTTCAATTATGGTGTTGGCAAAGAATACTGAATATACCATGGACTTCCAGGAGAACAAACAAATCTGTCTTAGAAGTATGGCCAGAACGCTCCTTAGAAGCAAGGATGGTGAGACTTTGTCTCACGTACTTTGGACTTGCTATCAGGAGGGACCAGTCCTCTTGGTAAGGTAGAGGGTCAGCAAAAAAAAGAGGAAGACCCTCATCAAGATGGACTGACACAGTGGCTGCAACAATGGGCTCAAACATAGCAATGATTGTGAGAGTGGTGTGGGACAGGGCACTGTTTTGTTCTGTTGTACACTGGGTTGCTATGAGTCAGAACCGACTCGATGGCACCTAACAACAACAACAACTGTTGCAGCCACTGTGTATTTTCGGTTCCTTCCAACATAAGGGGTTCACCATCCAGCACTATATTCAGCAATATTCTGTTGTAATCCATAGGGTTTTCAATGGCTAATTTTTGGGAGATTGCCAGGTCTTTCTTCCTAGTCTGACTTATTCTCAGAGCTTAAAATCCATTAAAAAAAGTAGTCATTTTTTTTTTAGTAGTAAGCTGTAGCATTTACAGACATATATATTAATATATATAGCTTACTGAATAATTGTGAAGTAAACATGCTCCCAAGTCATGCCATGTCAGTGCCCCTGAGAAATCCCCAGGAGGCTAGAGGGTGTCTCACTAACTTAGCAGAGGGCTGAGTCAGATTCTGAACTACTGCCTCAAACAGTACTCATAGAAATTAGATAAAGTGACCTATGAAGTCATTGAATCCACCCCCCAATCTCGGGAAATCTTGGTCCCTAAGAAATAATAACAAGCTTTTTGTCCAGTCTAACTTTTACTATACACAGGATGGACCTTTCACAAAAGCCCAAGAATATCCCACCAAACATCTAATGTATAATGAAGCTATAATAATAAACTCAAATTTTCCAAAGATTTACTAAATTACTCTTAACTGTGTCTTCCATAAAGATAGGCTGAAGTTCTAACCCCCAGTACCTGTGAACATGACTTTTGGAAACAGGATCTTTGAAGATGTTAACAGTTAACATGAGGTCATACTGGAGTAGGGTGGGCCCGAATCCAGTATGAATGGTGTCCTTAATAAAGAGAAAAGACACAAAGAAAAACCCAGAGGGAAAACAGCCATGTGAAGATGGAGGCTGACTGAGGTACCTAAAAGTCAAGGAATGTCAAGGATCACCGGCCGTCACTAGAAGCTAGGACAGAGGCAAGGAACAAACTCTCCCTCAGAGCCCTCAGAAAGAATCAAAATGCTGACACCCTGATCTCAGACTTCTAGCCTCCACAACTTCGAGACAATATATTTCTGTTCTTACCAGCCACCCAGTTTGTGGTATTTTGTTATGGCAGCCCTAGAAAACCAATACAAACATCATCCTTTTCCCTATCTAAAAAAGTTTGTTTTCCCCATAGGAACACCATCCTTCAGGTATTTAATTAGTTATAGCTTACTACTTAGTCCTTGTCTGCAACCTAATCTAGGTTAAAGGAATTACAATATGTAAGAGAGAGACTATAACCAAGATCTTCTATCATTATAGTTATCATTACCCACTCCCCTGCTCCTGCTCTGCTTGCTCATCCACCACAATCCACTATACATATGTGATGTTTAAATAAATCCTGCTGTTGGGTTTTGTTTTTTTAAGAACAGACATGTTCATTCAAAGGCAATGGAGAAAATACATTCAGGTTAAAACCATTTTGTCTTCTTCAAATTTCTCTATAGTTCGAAAGAGGCTACTCTTTTTTTTTCAATCTCATACACTTTTCATGAATATGACTGCTTCAGAAGTTCTAACAAAATTAGAAGAAATGAAAACAATATGACATGGCCTTGACAGGCATACATTTTCATTTAATATGGTTTAAACACAGCGATATTATCACTTTTTTTTCCTAAAAGTTGACTACTATCGCCAATATTCACTCAAAACTTACTTCCAATTCTTTAATTTTTTCTTCTGCTATTTTCTGTTTCTCTAATAGCTGCTTGTGAATTACCTCCTTGGACTGAAGAATAAACCTACAAAATACACAAAAGTTGGAAATTAAGCCACATGACCAAGATATTCATCAAATTCAATAACTATATATCAAAGAGCAAACTAAGAAAACTAAAAAGACGATCCCCTAATTCAGGACAAATAAAATACATTGCTATGTTAATGTGACAAACAGAAAACTACCAGGGTTAAACCTCCTTGGCTGAGAAGGGATAAAGGCTTATAGTAGATTCTGTCTTCTTATCTAAGAAGGGCAGCAGGCTTCAAGTAGATTCACAGATAAAAGGAAAAAAAAAAAGATAAAAATCTATCCCAGGCTAAGAGGAAAGTTAACATATAAACACAATAAATATCCTAATTTTTATTTTTTCAGTTATATCATTCAACTTTTATCTAGATTTTTTTAAACAGTATTTGTAAATTGGAGCTTCCCCCCATCTTTTTTTTTTCTGTAACAGCAGTAACTCATGACCTTTTAAAGTCACAATCAAGTACTGTGTTAGGATCAATGCATTAGTGTTTATATGAGTTCCTCACACAAAAAGCACTGTATAAGCTCTAGTATCTTTTATTATTATTTCCAGAGTGTATAATACCTCTGAAAAGCTCAAAATGCACAAACGGAAAATTTCAACTTTTTCCATTTTACAGTCAGGCACACTATTTACCGTTGATGGTACGAGCGTGGAAATATGGGAAACTTTAAAAATTAACACTGAATCTGTTTTGTGACTTTATGTTCATTATTCTTGCTGTGGGGGAAGGAAGAACAATCTATTTTATAGCCTCAAGTAAGTTAACTGAAATAGTTCCCTTCCACTGGAATCAAGGGAAAAACTCTAATTACTCAAATCTCTTTCAGGATAGTGTAACTAGGCTCTAATAGATTTCAACAAAACAGACATTCTTCTCTTTGCACACAGAGTTCAGAACTAAACATCATCTCTTAACAAAAAGCCAAGCAAAAAAAACATATCGACGTAGCAGTATGTGTTTCCTCTGTCAATCCCACAGAAACGATGTACTTAGGTAGATTCTTAATGAGAAGGTCTGTTGCTATAGCAGAAGAAAAGTAAAACAGACCAAATAGGGCAACTAGCTATTTCCCAGACATCTGGGAGAAAACTGCTTTCTGCCCCTTCTTCTTCATGAATACAGCTTCCCACACATATTAAAACATGATGAACATCGCTTTCATTCCACTAATTACTTAGCTTGTGATTGATATGAACACCCCAGATAATTTAACTGCTGATCTAGTCTTCAGTAGTAACTTTTTAAAAACCTTACTCATATATTTACTGCAAAGATGCCTACACTCATACAAACAAGGCTTAACTGTAGGTCTTTTCTATGCGAACCCTTCACATCTAACATGTTCTTATTCGGTCCAGTAGACAGGTACTATTTCTGATAAGAGTATGGTTTATAGAATGTTTCTATCAGAACTCATGCCTACATTTAAGAAGAGCTGGTTTGAACTGTATCAAGTCTCAATCACATCATGTAAAAAATATAATAAAAGAAGATCCAAGAGTCATCAATTGTCATTACATGCAGGATTTTACTAACAAAGTCTTTTAGCCATGGAAATAATTTTCAGAGTAAAATATACATTTTTAAATGGCACTGACTGCTGGCCAGTAAGTAGTATTCTCAAATAATAGTTCATCAGATATCATCTTTATTAGTGTCTGGGAAAATTTCAAAGCTAAGATTAGAGGTCAAGTCATTACTTATGTAGCCTTTAAAAATAAAGTATCTGAACAGATACTAAATCCCTTCAGCAGAAAATAAAATTACTAGAAAGCAAGAACACTCAACAACAAAAACGTTTTTCTGCAGCCACACACCCCTGAGGTAGCTATATTGGAGTATGCCAACTTTAAAGGCCAGAGAGATTCCACCAAAGCTGGCCAAGCTACTATTAAGCCTAGAAGAACACCTCAGTCATGAAAGTCTTAAACGAGGATGAGTATTTGGTAAATTCACATGCCTACCTCAAAGAGTAGTTACATAGTCAAAATTCAAATACAAAATTTATAGTAAGTTTGGTTTAGTGCTCAAATCAAAAAATGCCAAAGACACTTTGTAGGGAGACTGGAAAGCCCCAAGAAACATTTGCCTATTGTTAAAAAAAAAAAAAAAGACATTGAATTATCAGATACTATTTTGAAGACATGAGTGGTTTAGTGGTAGAATTCTCGCCTTCCATGTGTGACATCCAGGTTCAATTCCCAACCAACGTACCACAAGCATAGCCGCCACCCATCTGTCAATGAAGGCTTGCATGTTGTTATGATGCTGAACAGGCTTCAGTGGAGCTTCCAGATTAAGACAGACTAAAAAGAAAGACCTGGTGATATACTTCAAAAAAATCAGCCTATGAGAACTCTGTGGATCACAATGGTCCGATCTCGTTGTGCATAGGGTCACCATGAGCTGATGGCCACTAACAACAAAAACATTTTGAAGATAAAGGACATAGCATGATAATTTAATTATGAGACTTATAAACAACTAGGTACACAGTTTCTCAAAGCAGACAGTCTTATTCAGACTCTGCCTGATTGTTTATGGAAAGCCAAACAGTAGGTAAAGGATTCCTGAGTTCAGAATGTACCACAAAGGAAAAATAAGCCATGAAGAGGGAAATTATTCTCCTATGGCAAATGATATGCAGATAATGTACTACAATATTCAGGATCATATACTCTAGAGTTGTTTCTTTGTAAAAGGCTTCTATTTTGACCTGGAACTCAATGCCACGTTGGCCCTGCACTGTCAACTCTCAAGGACTTGCTGCGTTGCTGTTTCACTTCTACATTGATTGGTAATTATGCCATCTGAAAAACATGATTCTGTGATGGCTTTTGGTTTTGATTATTTAGGGAACATCAGAGGCTGTGTTCTGAATTGTCCTGCACGACTTTCACTTTCTTGCAACTCAGCATAAATTAAAAGTGTTCACCCCTCCGTGGTCTCGGGGAACATCTAGCTCAATTGGCATGACACAGCTTATAAAGACAATGCTCTACATTCTACCTTGGTACGTAGTGTCTGGAGTCTTAAAAGCCTGTGAGCGGCCATCTAAGATACTCCACTGGTCTCAACCCTTCGGGAGCAAGGGAGAATGAAGAGAACAAGGAAAAGATTAGTCCGAAGGACTAATTGTCCACAGCTACCAAGGCCTCCACCGGACTGAGTCCAGTACAGCTAGATGGTGTCCGGCTACCACCACTGACTGCTCGGACCAGGATCACAACAGAAGGTTCTGGACAGAGCTGGAGAAGGATGTAGAACATAATTCTAACTCACAAAAAAAAGACCAGATTTACTGGCCTAAAGGAGACTGGAGAAACCCCGAGAGTATGGCCCCCAGACACCCTTTTAGCTCAGTGGTAAAGTTACCTCCACGGTTCACTCTTCAGCTTTAGGAGTGGACGGCCCCGTAAAACCAAATGAGACTAACGAGGTACAGGAGTCCAGTGACAAGGGCCAGAAAGCAGAAGGGGACAAGCAAGCCGGTGATAGGGAACCCAAGGTTGAGTAAGGATATAGTTGATGTGTTGTGAGATTGTTAACCATTGTCTTAGGGCAACATGTGTAGTAACTGTTAAATGAGAAACTATTTTGTTCTGTAAGCCTTCATCTTAAGTGAGAATAACAGCACAATTCGAAGAGCGTAGTCAATGTCACTGAACTGCGCATGTAGAAATTTTTGAAATGGTGTATCTTTGGCTATGTGTATTTTCACCAAAAAAAAAAAAGGTTGAGAAGCTAGAGGGTTGATATGTTGTTGGGTTGTTAACCAATGTCATAAAACAACATGTGTACTTCTGTTTCATGAGAAACTATTTGTTCTGTCAGCCTTCACCTAAAGTACAATAAAAAATTTAAAAAAATAGGATATAGTGCCCAAGACCTAAGAGACAATATCAGTTGACCATGTGTGTAATTACAGACCCAGAAGGTGAAGAGAGAATGGGGAAGAAGAAATATTTGAAAAAAGAATGAACAAGAATTTTCTAAAGTGAAAAAACACCAAATCAGTTTTGAAACTGTGAAACTCAGAGAACCACAAGCAAAATAAATACCAAACTTGGGGGGACATCTAGGTCAACTGGCATAACATAGTTCATAAAGAAAATGTTCTATATCTGACTTTGGTGAGTAGCATCTGGGATCTTAAAAACTTATGAGCAGCCATCTAAGATACATCTACCGTCCCATCCCATCCAGAGCAAAGAAGAATGAAGCAAACCAAAGACACAAGGAAAATATTACTCCAAAGGACTAATGGACCACATGGCCTCCACCAGCCTGAGCCCAGAAGAACTAGATGGTGCCCAGCTACCACCACCAACCACTCTGACAGGGATCACAATAAACGGTCTCAGATAGAGCAGGAGAAAAATGTAGAACAAAATTCAAACTGACAAAAAGACTTACTAGTCTGACAGAGACTGGAGGAACCCCAAGACTATGGCCCCAAGACACCCTGCTAACTCAGAACTGAAGCTACTCCCAAAGTCCACCTTTTAGCCAAAGATAAGATAGACCTATAAGACAAATAATAACACACATGAAGAACGTGCTTCTTAGTTCAATCAAGTATATAAGACCAGATGGGCAATACCTGCCTAAAAGCAAAGACAAGAAGGCAGAAAGGGACAGGAAAACTGGACGAATGGATACAGAGAACCCAAGGTAGAAAGGGACAGGGGGAGAGTGCTGACACATTGCAGGGACTGCAACCTATGTCACAAAACAATTTGTGTGTAAATTTTTGAATGAGATACTGATTTGCATTGCAAACTTTCACCTAAAACACAGTAATTTTTTTAAAAATGTAGAATTCACCTAGAAAAAATAAATACTAAAGAACACCTAGATGTATCATCAAACTACTGAGAAACAAAGATAAAGAGAAAATCTTGAAGGCAGCCAGAGAAAGGACACATTATATTCAGAGAAAGAAAGATAAGAATTAAAGCAAACTTCCTGTCATAAAATATGC